CCTTGAGGACTTTAAGTCCACTTGCAGTGTCTACCACCTGCGATTCCGAAGATTGGCATACCAATTTAGAATTAGATGCATCAGCGATATTGCCATGACAAGTACACAGAGTACCTACAAAACTCAATAGATTTAATTAAACATCTGGTTAGCACAATATGAACAATGTAGATATATCAGCTAAATAACACACATGGTAAAGCAAGCTTTATGGCTGGTGGAGAAAATTCTCAAAATTTTAAGATGGAGCCTTTAGATATCCTCCCTAAATTTCACGATTAATTTTCTTGTCAAATGTAATCAGAAATAAACATCGTGAGCTATGAAGTAGCTATTACGGATAGCTCAAATAGAATGAGTTATAGTCCAGATTTCAATAAAAAACAAGCCAAATATTATTTCGAATGTTTATCATACGGACTCAGATTAAAATGATACCGAAAGGATTCATTATGTTTTCTCATAACGATTTATAATTGAAGACGACCGATGTTGGTAAAACATTGTAAATTGTCAGCTAGAAGAGATAGACATCTTGTGTATTGTATTTCATAGCTATAATGATTGACATCAAAGCTCTACAAAAGATATATCTTACACATTTAATCAGGAGCGCCACGTTCTGTCTGCGTCCCATGTTTTTATGAAAGAAATATTACACTGTGTCTCCGTTTGTTTTAGTAATAATAGGCTCTTTATTAGCTCTTATTCCAGCTGCCAATATAAAAAATAGAAGATATCCAAAGCAGAGTACAATATTTCAAATATGAAATCGATAGTTTTCTATAAAATTACAATAAAAGTTATTATAGAAACACTTAGAACTGTTGATCGACCTAGCAATTTGGTCTTACATATGAGCAGCTACAGAATCATTAAAATGTGGATAAGTAACATCTAGAGAGACGTTTATATAGATCAATTTGTTGACGAATATCGTCTACAGAGACACATTTCAAGTTCAGGATACGGACCTTCCTCGTTTATAACGGATTTTTCTTCTCCAAAATCCTCCCTCTCATGCTATGTATTCTCAAACCAGGTTTGATTTTCGTGATATTGTACATAACCAGAAGGTGTCTTTAAGGTTCCAATGAGTGTTTGATCAGTTCCCATCCACCCAAACTTCAGCGACGTCTTTTCTATCAGGAACCCCTTCATTCTACATTTCATTATCATAATATAGAGAAAGTTCCTTTTCCAGAAAGGAGAAAAAAGTATGTGAACTATACTGGAATGTATTTCGTGAACAACACCTGTTCGGAAAGGATGAAATACACATGTACATTATCTAAAGATCAGATCACGAGAAGAACTGAATTAAGGGCTTCGAAGTGAGAAAATTTTCAAACAGGCATACAGCAACGATCCGTATATACTGTCACAACTATTGGGTCGGATGTTTGGAAAGCTGTATACTGTCACAACTATTGGGTCGGATGTTTGGAAAGTTGTACACTGACAACTATTGGGTCGGATGTTTGGAAAGCTGTACACTGTCACAACTATTGGGTTGGATGTTTGGAAAGCTGTACACTGTCACAACTATTGGGTCGGATGTTTGGAAAGTTGTACACTGTCACAACTATTGGGTCGGATGTTTGGAAAGCTGTATACTGTCACAACTATTGGGTCGGATGTTTGGAAAGTTGTACACTGACAACTATTGGGTCGGATGTTTGGAAAGCTGTACACTGTCACAACTATTGGGTCGGATGTTTGGAAAGCTGTATACTGTCACAACTATTGGGTCGGATGTTTGGAAAGCCGTACACTGTCACAACTATTAGGTCGGATGTTTGGAAATCGGTACACTGACAACTATTAGGTCGGATGTTTGGAAATCAGTACACTGACAACTATTAGGTCGGATGTTTGGAAATCGGTACACTGACAACTATTAGGTCGGTTTGTTTGGAAATCGGTACACTGAAAACTATTGGGTCAGATGTTTGGAAAGCTGTACACTGTCACAACTATTGGGTCGGATGTTTGGAAAGCCGTACACTGTCACAACTATTAGGTCAGAAGTTTTGAAAGCTGTACATCGTATACTAAAAAGATGCATTTGCTTTCAGTTAAAAAAAGAAGTAATGAAAAATCAATATTGGCAATCATTGTATTTCTATATAGTAAGGAATACAAAGTAGTGTTACTCACTGTTGTACCTTGGAATGTCCTTTCAAATATGTACATATATTTTATGTATCTTTCTCATAACATATCTTCATTTTTGCACGACTAAAATACAGTTTCTCGAAACTGCAGACATAATTATCACCAACACAAATAGCAGTTACTTGTTGATAAGACACAAATGTTCAAGATCATAAAACATTACCATAAAATACTCCAAAATAAAATATAAAACATGGACGGACAGAATTACAAACAAGTGCTATTATCACATGTTGATCAGCTTTCATTGTTACAGATATCTACTGAAGTATAAATACTGTTATGTTACCTGTGAAATCTATAGAGAATATATAATAAGCCTGGTCACTAACAACACACTAGAACCGGTTAAAATCTATTATCCTGTGGATTGGCTGTTACAGTCATAAGTATACATAAAACAGTCAACCATTGGAAAATAAATTCTGATTGGTACGTGTGATTCAATGTGTGCTCGATATATTTTATAATGGAGAGCTACAGATGCTGATGTAGTATTATCATTAACTAGACCTAAAACATTAACAAAAATATGCAAGTAGTTAAATTACATCAAAATCCAATTAGAATTTTGTTTTAACATGAAAGTGGTATACCTATCTTCTAGCTAATGTTGATTCTTTAGGTAACTGGCTATAGGAATAAGCACCAAGAGTATTGAAGTGATACCGGCGATAGTTACATTTAAACAAATGAAAAAAAACCCTCTGTGGCCATGTCCAATGTAACACTTTACAGAAATATGGTAGACATTATATACATACTGAGTACTGTTACATTTCTGTGGTGTTCAATTTCTATCATTGGTGTAACACACCAATGTACAGTAAAGAACTGATTTCAACAACATAGTCCTGTGGTATATCTCTCCTGTGGTGTTCAATTTCTATCACTGTTGTAACACATCTGTATATTCTGTACAATACCTCAATACCCTCATCACCTTACAAATTATTTCAAAAAGTAATTCCTATTGAAAAATAAAATTTCTGCAAGAAAGGTAATAAGATTTTATAAACTTTTGAAAGATTAACAGAGAATGATTTGAAGGTGATGATGGCATCCCATAGAAATATCAACATGAAGACCTCAAGCAACTCATGATCTTGATAAAGTTAAGCCTCCAGCTTATGCTATTTCTGGGTCATCACTAACAAACTAATTAATTTCAACCTCTAGAGATTTGTGAAGTAATTATAATACAGTCCTCTAACATACACACACACCTGTTCGTGGACAGTTTGACACAATATTTCAGGCATAAATTGAAATGGATCTGCAAATTTTGACACGAACCTCAAAGTGAAATAAGGTCTGTAGCTCTGTCCTCATTTCATAAACAAACCTAGTTCAACTGACCAAACCACAGAACTAAAATGATCCAATTGTAGAGATTCCAAAGCTTTACTGGCTTGCAGCACCAGTTATATCAAGTTTTATGCCCACTGGGTATTCTCAGCATTCAGACTAAAACCTTTGGGTTTTATTGTATCAAAAAAATTCAAAGGTTTTATGCTATCATGTGATTTGTGTCACTTTTTCAGAAGAGTTCTATGCTAAGAAACTGAAATGTCCACATCTGACTGAAGTAAGTTATAGCATCTGTAGACAAATCATACTCAGAACTATAGATGTTAGTGATATCTCGACAGTAATAACATAAACTCTGTTTAAAGGGGATCATATTCACCCTCAAGAAAGATAACTATAGAATAACTCGCATAATATACTAAAAATATGAAGAGGCATATGGCTTTATAAGGAAATCACCAAACAATACCAGTCTTCTCTTAAAACAGAACATTAGATCCTGAAAAAAAAATTTGTGAGGTCAGATAAATACACAAGATTCAGTCTAACTTCAATAAACATGTCAAATGCACCACGTATGGCAATCAAAAATGTATGAATTTGATCACAATGATTTTAATGATGTTGTAAAAACGTGTATCACTTGTTGGCCACACATCCCATAAACCTATACAAAGGAATGATATACGGTAGTTCAATGATTGAAGCATGAAGATGTTACCCTCCCACTCATCCATCCAAAATATAAAGTAAAAAATATTACAGATTCTGTTATCACAGATAAGCTCGAAGACAGCACTAAACACTGCTGGTAGTATACATATGTATGTACACACTACTAATGATATAATGATAATATATATACAAGTGTACCTAGTACACTCAATTATCTACAATTATACATAGGCTGAAATACTATCACCATGAATAAGAAAAAACAAACAGATCACAGATAAATACAAATGCTCACAAAACTTGACTTGTACCCCTCCCAAATCAGCAAACAAAACCAGTGTTACCTGATTCTTAACACTAAGTCATTCTAGCAAAAACAGATTAAGAAAATAATATTAAAGAACTGAAAAAAACATCTTGAAGTTCAACATGTATTTCAAAGGTAATAGTTATATAAATAGATGTAATAGTCTGCTAATCTTAAGGATTACAACTTGCCTTACACAATACATGATAAGGTCACAGTATCACAGTTAACATAATTCAAATTACTCCCTACATTTCACCAGACAACTTAGTACAGTCACACTTTCTATGTGTAAAGGTCAGAGGTCGACATAATCAGTGAAGTATTCTGGGAAGACTCGTATCAAATAAAACGATACTGGGTCTTTATGTAATGATTTCACATATGACAATATGTCTGAAGTGGGGGTAAGTGAGATGGGGGTGGTGGGAGTGCAGCGTAGGAGGCAGGGAGGAGTCATTGTTTTGCCCAGCAGTGTTTTTTTTGATGACTGATAAATTTTTCTGTCACCTCCTGTAACAACGTGTCAATTTCCCATAGTAATGAAAGCCAAACATAATGAAACCCAGCCATGAAGGCTTTATAGCACAGCCACACACATAAAAAATGTCACTACATTCATAATGTCTGAAAGCTTGGGGCAGTGGACTATCTGACAAATTTCTTGGTAAAGGCAGGAGTGGGTCCCAAGGGTTTGGATGGGTTCAGATTGGCGTTGTGGATTGGTGAGTTGGGAATCGGATCCAGGCGATTCAGACTTGGTGCACTAGAAGTGTGCTTGGAAGGTAAATTATGATGCCCTCCCTTCTCTCCTTTCTTTGACTTCTGTAATTTACACAAAAAACAAAATATCACCTGGAGTTTTCCTAAAACGAATAAAGCATACTAGTAGGTACAATACATAGTCAGCACATTACACCAATAGAGTATATCTACAGCAGAGGTACTGAGACTACATAGAGAACGGTAGTGGAAATTTCCACAACATCTCTGTGCTCAACTTGACAACTGGGGATTGATTTCTTAATTAGAAAAAGTGTGTGTCTCACCTGCCTGACCATATGGCATTTCCCTAAGTACTAGAATAGTTCATCCCACAGTATTATTAGAACCCTCGAAATCCAGGCCAACAAGAGTAATTAATATGTGCTTTTAAGCATGTTTACCAAGTCTTGTTTCATAATTAATATTTGTATTTTTTAGTTAATAAGAGGCTATTTTCTAAAAGCTTTTTGTACACTAAAAGGTAAGGTTTACTATTTTGAAATTAATTTTTTCATAATATACATAATAAATGAAGTTTAAAGCTGATACAAGTGAATGGGGAAGTAGTCATCCAGCACAACTTACTTTCTGTAGAGGGTTGAGAACTCCCACTTTAGGATCTGTATTGAAGACCTTGTTAAAGTTTGTCTCTCTGTTTACTAGTTCCATCTGGTAATACTGTTTCTCCTCCTACAAGATTTAACAAAATCACATCAGCATCAGAACTAAACAAATCCTCCAATTTTACCCACAGTTTCATTTTTTATTTCTTTTTAATGTGCAATTTTTCTTTATGTATTCCTTAAACATAAAAAAAAAAAAAAATTGCATCAAATTCAATAGTTTATTTTAGTATAGTCCCAAGATCTACCCTACTATTACTTGTCCATTTTTGTTTCAATGTAGTGGTGCTTTAAAAAACCCCAGAAATTCTAACACTCTTTTACATTTCAAGACAATGACTGAAAAAATGCCATACTATTAAGGTTTTCATCCTCATTTCTCTCTCCCTAATGGCATCCCTCAGCTGTGAGATAGCTTCGAGATCCTCTGGTCTTGATTCACGATTATTATACTTCTCCTCTGCCTCCTTCAACCTACATAACAAAGTATCAACATAATACATTAGTATGAAAGGAATCAATATTTCATCAACATTTTATTCAATTCTTTATTTTGGCTGATGTCTTCCAAATTAATGATCAATTTTAAACAAGACTTTTTGTTTTAGGAACTGATGAGTTCTTTCCTGGGTCAATTTGGTGCTTGCCCTACTTTGTGTTAAAAGATGATTTAGTAAGCATTCTAGCGCTAACATCTCTAACTTGTGTGCATCAATTTTAACATATCATAGATACAGAAACATATTCTGATGATTAAAGGAACTCCAGTGAAGTATATGATTTTAATTGTTACATAACAAAGCACCAAGATGCTCACCACTGAAAAATCTTTCACATTCATGGAGGTTAATTTTTTTGTTCTTCAGAATCTGTTCTGTTGGACTGACTATGAACATGTTTCTCTGATATGAATATTATAACAGACCATATCTCCTTTTTTCACACTGATGTAGATACTCTTACTGACACAGAATGCTGAAACTTTGTAAAATATATTAAAACATATCTAATGATGTAAAGGTTTTGCTTTTTCAAGTTAAATTGAAAGGATACAATCTAACAGAATGTTCTCCAATGACTGAAGTTTGATACTAACATGATTTGTAACTCTGAGATTTTGTCCTTCAGTAGTTCCTGAGCCTCGGAAAAGTCAGCCATTAGTGTCTCAGCCTCTCTCTGGTGGTCAGCCTTTACACACTCTATCTCATGCTGGAACTTCTGAACTAATACCTCCTCCCGTTTCCTAGGTGAGAAAAGATTTCATTTTGTCTTATCTTATACAGTACAATAGATCAATTGGCTTAAATTATGACAGAAGTTAGTAAAATGAGTTCAGCCAACCCAATATTGTAAATATATTGTATTTTTGTGTAGACCTATGTACAATACATAGACTTTTAGACAGTAGTGAGTATATAATTCGCTTAGTGCATGTTTCCAGGAATTTTGTTTCAGGTACAGAGTAGGTGTATCATACTCAGAAAGAAAACCATACATTTTAAAATTAATACATTTTTACCATCAAGTGCAAAACAATAATATTATTAAAGGGGGGTAACTGTTGTTGACTATCAAACATACTTTAGTTGAAGATTTGCATCACTCCTGATCTTGAGGATTTCATTCCCCTTCACCTCAATCTCCCTCGTCAATTTACTGATATCAGACTTCAGACCTTTGACATCATCCTTGAGATTTTTTATGTGTAGTTCTCGCCCTGTTACCTCGTCTTTCAGTTCGTCTACTTGAATAGCATGAGCTTTGTCCTAAATATGAAGAAAAATATTAATACATGTACATATATAACATGTTTTGATAAATTAATTTTGATGAGCAGTGCCAGGAATTTTTCATTTGCTCGTTTCATCGTCTCAGAGAAAACTTTTTCAGAATTTCCTTTATGATGTAGAAGTTTCATTGAAAGTCAAAATAACAGTAAAATTTGAATGAAAATGATTCTTTGTCCAAGTATTACCTTCTGTTTTGAGATTTCTACTGCTCGGTCCAGTTCCATTCTTGCTGCATCCAGCTGATAGCTGTGTCCCCTCTTTAGCTCTTCCATTTCATCGCTATGACGTTCATAAATAAGTTCTTTCATCTTTTCTGCAGGCAGAAATAAAATCATCAGGATACTCTATGTATGTATAATCAGACATAATTCATCACCATAGAAAATACACACAATGCTTAACTAATACTACAACAAGTACAGTTAACATCAAAAGAGAAAGTGTAATTGTTTACTAAATTTCTTCGATGATATACCTGTTTCCTTGTGGTGTTCCTGTTTTGCCTCCTGAAGACTGAGGAGTCGTGACTTTTCTGCCTCAGATTTGAGACTTTCTATTGTTGCTTTATGGGCCGTCATACTCCTCTGCATATCATCCGAATGCTCTGACTTAAGCTTATTTTCTAATTCCTGAACACAAAAAACAAATATTAAGCAATCCCTTTAAAAACATTGGAATTTCAGATTTGCTATTAATAGGCTTAATGTATCTTGTTGGAAGATATTAAATGTGTAACAATTAAATTTGATAGAACTATCAATTACTTAGACATATCAATTATACAATTTATGGAACAATCCTATTAACTCTCTACATTAAAACTGATAGAGAAGTTCACTAACAATAAAAGATATTTAAACACAGACATATGCCATCCTTCTGTTCTGTACACTTAAAAATTTACCTTGGCCTCATCATCCTTCTGTTCTGCTAGCCTCCTCATTTTTTCCAGTTGCATCTCTTCCATTGAAGAAATCTGCTGAGCGTACTCATTTCCTGCCTCAACAAGTTTTTTCTCTAGCCTTTTTTTCTCCTCTTCCATTTCTTTTCTTAGGCGTTCAATTTCTTCCGCATTTGCTCCTTCTTTGTCTTCCAAACTTCGTTTAAGTTTGTCCAGCTGACACAGCAAAAAAGGAAGAAATATCATTGTCATATTTCTGAATGAATTTAAAACCTAGCTTTTTGTTATCTTTCTGTATTCTGTAGGACAGTCAGAGCACCACCTTTCTCTGTCTAAACTCAGAATAGGTCCTGTAGATGTAATTGTGTTTTATTTTAATGACTGTAGACATTATGGCTTGAGGAGGTACGACAAGTACATCATCAATATTAAAATAATAACAATTAATAAAAATAGAAATAAGACTTAGATTATCAGAAAGCTTATAGATTTTTTCTGTGATATTTTCTTGGCCGACATAGACTCTGACCTGGCACGAGTCAGCACTATATATATCTAGAGTGTTGTGTACCTGATTGTTAAGTTCATGGACTTTGTTCTCCCAGCCACGTCGAGCAGCAACCACTTCCTCGTCCTTTAGCCGTGCCAATTGCTGAAGAGCCGCCTTTTTCTCCTCATCTTTCTGCTGGGTCAGGTCAAGTTTCAACCTTGCACACTCTTTCCTATTTCAGGAATAATAAAATTGGTTAAGTGGGTGATCTCAGCTGGGTTTTTTCCTCAGTTTTCAGACTTACTTTCCCTTGTTTGAAAAATAAAAAGATTACTTTTTCTTGGTAAAACACTTATTACAATGCAAAATGATCTGTAAAAAACAAGAACTCCTCATTAAGACTTGGATAAAGAAAATGGCTGCTTGTTTTCCAACTCAATCCTACAATGTATACATTGGAAAACCATAAATGGTTAATTAAAAGATAATTTCTTTTTATATCCTCAAAATAAATAAGTATTGAATAAAAATATTTATAATTAGTAACAAAACAGCCCAGAGTAAATTCCTTCCTCTATCATTGAGTTTCTCCATTCAAGTTTTCCTACCAGAATGTTACATAACTTGAACCTCCTATCAGTGATACGTGAAGCATACCTTCCTGTACAGGTGACCTTTCCGTATGGCCTAATACCTGATTCCTTACCTCAGATTATCTGACCACTTTGACTCCAGGTCTTTAGCCAACTGGTCAAGTTTATTCTTAAGTTCCTGTTGAGCTTCAGCAAGCTTACTCTCATGTAGTTTCTTTAGCTTCTCCAGCTCAGCCTAAAATTACCAAAACACCATTAAACATATTTATATATGTAAAGGCATGTGGAGTTTCTACAGGAAATGTTGTTGGGATACAGGTCCATGCTCTCCACATCTTTTGGTATGGCAGATTTTGCAATGGTATGTGAAGAATTAGTTCAAGTTACCAAGGTCAGTGACTACACCCTATCAAGATCAATATGAGGGGAAGTTAAAAAGGAAAGGGCCTTATTGACAAATACACTTTGTCCAGATTTATGTACATTTTGTAGTACCAGAACAAGCTCTGGTTACAGACTTTACTCTGACCACTGATCACGATTCCTAATGTGAGAGACAGTGTGTAGATTATAGGACTTTTTATATATATCTCAATACTTATATCAAAGTCATACGGGTCAACATTTTAATATCAATATCAAAGTATCATTAAGTGTTTCTGATATTAACACTGATGTGGAGTGGTCACGGAGTATACTGTTGTTGTATAGTACTTAGGAATTGTCAAGTAGATCAAGAAGGAAAACTTGGTGAAAGAGACATTTATCTGGCTTTACGGCCCACATATACAATTTCCAGGTTTCACTGAGATAAGTTCTCAATTGCTCTCTTCAGCCATTCCATGATCATAAAGTTTGATTAAGTTCAGTCTCATGGCATAAGACTATCTTTAATTGCAATTAAACAAAGCAAATTGTTATACATGTAGGCTGTGATGTACGACCATCCCATCCCTCAATTTTGTATTGTTAACCTTGACCTTCTATATACCAAACCTCCATCCCATCATTGCCTCTATTCCATCCTCTTGACTCAGTGTAATTATCCTTAACGTTTGTATTCAAAATTAACTATCCAATCCCGTTAAGCTAATTGGCTTGTCATAATAAAAAAGTCTCCCTGTGAACTTAGCTTAGTAAATATCTCACAGTGATACTACTCAGATCATACATAAAACAAGTTACATGTTATTATCATCAACATAGGTGAAATGGAAAAGGAAGAAAGGATGTAGTGTTAGCCTTCAATAACCGTACATATTTACCACAGCAGCTAAACCTCACTCAACAGACAATTCAATATGATAGGTAAGTGTCTTGACTCTCTCAATTCCTGTCTGATAATTTCAGTACTTGAATGAATGGTCTCAAGTATGTTGATCTTTGTTAAGTGGAAATGTATAATGTTATTTTAATAAACTACAACTTAAGTTGAGAGCTTGTGATACTGCAATGAATTCTATACTTAATCATACCCATCTATTTTACTCCAGACACAGACCTGTCACCTGTACTAGTCACATCATACCAAACAGGCACTGGAAATTTCTAACAAAAATTTTGGTATAGTATTTCTGAGTCCTTTATTTACTGTGGTGACCATGAATAACACCTGGACCAAGGATTCCTGCCACCATTACTTGACCACTGGTGGTCACTCTGAGCGCCGAATGCAAACCTTGATGGACACAACAGTGATCACGCCACCCACTGATACCTGTACAGTGACAACTCTAGCACTCTCCATCACCCTCTGTATCTGTGGGACAATGACAAATCTCATCAACATTTTGGCATTTACATGTAATTCCAAGGTTCATGATGACAAAACACCTTTCCTAAAGACAACTGTGATCCTTGATTTACTTTTCCTGGTGCTCAATCTGCCTTATTTTATCCTTCAAACAGGATACATCCATCTGGAGCCATCACAGTATGCTGAACTCACTGTTTATGTTGGTATTAGGTATGTATCGTTGAAGTCATTCACATTGTGTCCTTATCTTGGGCTTACTAATACATGTATATTGGGATTATCAGATGATGAGAATAATTTCTCGGACATACAAAATTTAATGTATCGCTTTCTAACTGACCTTTTCATTTATTGACTTGCATTTAAAGGGGTATTCAATAATTTTGTCTCATACAACGTACCAATATATTACAACAGCAAATTTATCTAATGAAACAATAAGTAGTTTATATAGAGTGAAAAAACAGGAAGTAAGACTTATACTGGGACAAATTTGTGGTGAGATAAAGTACAAGTGTTTGGTAGGACTAAATATACAATAACAGAGTGCACAATCTGTTTTATGGAAACTGATAACATGGATTTCATCCATGAAAACAGGAAATGAAAAAAATAAGGTAGAGCACGGTCCCCTACCAAAATTGATACTTCTGTTAGTGGTGTAAATTTTGTATAAGGATTTATCAACATAATTAACATGATTAACGTGGAAATATCAGGATTAGATGTTACACTAAAGTTACATCATTATTTATAAATACAGTCAGTGATTACACATTATACAAATTGTAACAGATATGTATAACATACATTTTCTGGGAAATATGTTCTTAAACAATCATTGTTTTGAAAATGCATTGAAAAGCTTTTTCTTAATAATTTGAAGTAAGACTGATTGACTAAAACATAACAACATCAAAAACAAAGCAAAAAAAAATGATAAAAAAAAAAGATTAATTAGTATTGATTTTGAAACCAAACAGTATTCTACTGGGATTATTTCAAAATGCTTCCCTAATTTTTGATATTACCAAAAGTTACTCCATACAAATTCTATTAAGTTACCAGATATAAATGTGTGTTTTGTCTTGTTTTCAACTGTATATCGTGAAGGCTACTACAATGGTCAATACACATACTCTGTGTACACTTTGTAGGCATTCATAGCACCCCATTTATAGCAGTGGAAAGTTCACAACTATTGCAGATGATGATGTGCTATAAAAGATTTAAAATCTGAAGAGAAGGATAGCCTAATATACTTTCTTGTGTAACTTGACCTTCGTAAAAAAAATGGATGACTTACACTGAAGTAAGAACTACTAGTCTATATCTAAAACACAACTTTCTCAATGTCAAATTCTTATTTACAGGTATACATTTGGCTTTATCCTGATGTGTGCATCCTCATGGATGCTTGTTGCCTTGGTTACCAAAAAGATCCTCTCTACACAGATTGAGAGTGATGACTCTAGAATCAAGCCTCTTGGTGAACCTGACCAGACTGCTGACAGTACAGGATGGCGCCAGTTCTTAAAATCATCATCAATGTTTATTGCGGCCATACTAGTTATAGCAACATTTATCCATGGTGTCAAACTATTTGAGTACCAGACAGCTAGCTCTTCTGATTCTCCGTGGCTAATAAGTAGACGTCTGACAGGATTTGGATATGAGCTCTACACAGCTACTGTAAATATAGCTGTGACCACACTCGCTCCGTACATGTTTCTCCTGTGTTCAACAATATATTATCTGGTGACTGCTGTGAAAGTTTTGATGCGGAAGAAGAGTGAAAGAGAGGCCATCAGGGATATCTGGTTACTGTGTTTGCTCAGCCTGCTTCATCTTGTGTGTTATGGAGGATCCCTCTACCAGCAAATCCTGGTGTTATTTACAAAGGTTGTATCAATTGACAACTTTTGTTATGATAGCATCAACACTACCTTGATTATTCTGAACGCATCAATAAAAATTGTCCTGTTCAAATTATTTACATACCACTTCAAGCAGTATAAACTTCCATTGTCTGATGTTTCCAGTTTTCTTGTCAAACAAAATCTGAGAATGAGACGGGGTGATGTAGTGCGTGGTCATTCCTTCAGCAATCCTGTTTATGACCAGGACAGTGACTGATTAGAACTATATGGTACAAGTGACAGAGGTGATGTGGTACATGACAAGGACAATGTGATGCGTGACAGGGATGATGTGGTGTGTGACAGGGTGATGTGGTGTGTGACAAGGTGATGTGGTGTGTGACAGGGTGATGTGGTGTGTAACAAGGATGTATTGTGTGTGGCAGAGTGACGTTGTGTGTAACAGGGTGATGTGTTGTGTGACAGGGTGATGTGGTGTGTGACAGTGTGATGTGATGTGTGACAGGGTGATGTGGTGTGTAACAAGGATGTATTGTGTGTGACAGAGTGATGTTGTGTGTAACAGGGTGATGTGTTGTGTGACAGGGTGATGTGGTGTGTGACAGTGTGATTTGGTGTGTGACAGGGTGATGTTGTGTGTAACAGGGATGTGTTGTGTGTGACAGGGTGATGTGATGTGTGACAGGGTGATGTGATGTGTAACAAGGATGTGTTGTGTGTGACAGGGTGATGTGGTGTGTGACAGGGTGATGTGGTGTGTGACAGGGTGATGTGATGTGTAACAAGGATGTATTGTGTGTGACAGAATGATGTTGTGTGTAACAAGGTGATGTGATGTGTTACAGGGTGATGTGGTGTGTGACAGTGTGATGTGGTGTGTGACAGGGTGATGTTGTGTTACAGGGATGTGTTGTGTGTGACAGGGTGATGTGATGTGTGACAGGGTGATGTGATGTGTAACAAGGATGTGTTGTGTGTGACAGGGTGATGTGCTGTGTGACAAGATGATGTGGTGTGTGACAGGGTGATGTGATGTGTGACAGGGTGATGTGATGTGTAACAAGGATGTATTGTGTGTGACAGAGTGATGTTGTGTGTAACAGGGTGATGTGTTGTGTGACAGGGTGATGTGGTGTGTGACAGTGTGATGTGGTGTGTGACAGGGTGATGTTGTGTGTAACAGGGATGTGTTGTGTGTGACAGGGTGATGTGATGTGTGACAGGGTGATGTGGTGTGTAACAAGGATGTGTTGTGTGTGACAGGGTGATGTGGTGTGTGACAGGGTGATGTGATGTGACAGGGTGATGTGGTGTGTAACAGGAATGTGTTGTGTGTGACAGGGTGATGTGTGTAACAGGGAGATGTGGTGTGTAATAGGGATGTGTTGTGTGTGACAGGGTGATGTGGTGTGTGACAGGGTGATGTTGTGTGTAACAGGGATGTGTTGTGTGTGACAGGGTGATGTGATGTGTAACAAGGATGTGTTGTGTGTGACAGGGTGATGTGCTGTGTGACAAGGTGATGTGGTGTGTGACAGGGTGATGTGGTGTGTGACAGGGTGATGTGATGTGTAACAAGGATGTATTGTTTGTGACAGAGTGATGTTGTGTGTAACAGGGTGATGTGTTGTGTGACAGGGTGATGTGGTGTGTGACAGTGTGATGTGGTGTGTGACAGGGTGATGTTGTGTGTAACAGGGATGTGTTGTGTGTAACAGGGTGATGTGATGTGTGACAGGGGGGTGATGTGGTGTGTAACAAGGATGTGTTGTGTGTGACAGGGTGATGTGGTGTGTGACAGGGTGATGTGATGTGTGACAGGGTGATGTGGTGTGTAACAGGAATGTGTTGTGTGTGACAGGGTGATGTGTGTAACAGGGTGATGTGGTGTGTAATAGGGATGTGTTGTGTGTGACAGGGTGATGTGGTGTGTGACAGGGGTGAAATGGTATGTGACAAGGGTGATGTGATGTGTGACAGGGTGATGTGGTGACAATGATGTAGTGTGTGACAGGGTGATGTGGTGTGTGTAGGGTGATGTGGTGTGTGACAGGCGATGTGATGTGTAACAGGGATGTGTTGTGTGTGACAGGGTGATGTGGTGTGTGACAGGGGTGAAATGGTATGTGACAAGGGTGATGTGATGTGTGACAGGGTGATGTGGTGTGTGATAGTGTGATGTGGTGTGTGACAGGGTGATGTGATGTGTAACAGGGATGTGTTGTGTGTGACAGGGTGATTTGGTGTGTGACAGGGGTGAAATGGTATGTGACAAGGGTGATGTGATGTGTGACAGGGTGATGCGGTGACAGAATGATGTGGTGTGTAACAGGGTGATGTGGTATGTGTTAGGGTGATGTGATATGTGACAGGGGTGATGTGGCGTGTGACAAGGGTGACACAGTTTGTAACACGGACAAATTGATTTGTGACAGGGACAACATGTTACTTGACAGGGGCGACACCATATGTGACAGGGACAACATAGTAAGGGAAAAGGGCAATGTACTGTGGTATGTTGCTACTCCTTCAGTTATATCCTACTTAGAATCAGGATATAGATGGACAGTCTCACTGATGACTTTGTACCAGATGACTTGAGTAGAACTTCAGACTTTAATTTGTAAAATATGATTTATGTCTGACTAGAATAACTATAATGATGTGAAGGATGTTTCCAGAAAACAGGGTATGTAGTACTGACAGGGACTGCAAGTCTCAACCATTTACCTGTAGCTGCTTACTAATGAATAAATTGTACATTAATAAAGTCTTGTGAAATAAAAGATCTATTTTGTGACTTCTTGATAGAAAAGTAACATGTAGTTTATCAGTTGTGAGATCATGCTGTCAATTCTTGCTTGAAACTCTCATGGACTTTCAACTTCTGAAAACAGATCATCAGTAAATCGGGACTGGACAAAGCACAATCCATTAACATACCAGATTTTCACATACAAAGAGAATCCCAGAACAAGAATAAAGACAGTGACAGTGATGTTATATCAACAATGCTTATTTTCTGTTATGATATACATGTATATGTTGCAAACTGATGATCTAAGTAATAAAGCAATCTGTCTGAAATAATAATGGCTGTTTTGCTCTTGTTTCCTTGCCCTCAGGTCTTGCTAAATACACCCCTTTTACCACTTATATCTTTCCACATATGACTTTACCTTATAATTAGCAGCATTTGTCTTGTGAGTTTTTATTTCCTCTCGTGACTTCTCCAGATCAGATTGTAGTCTAGCTGTAGCCTCCTTGAGGCTATTGATTTTACTAGAGGCTGTTCCAAGACCAGACTCACTGTCTTTGAGAATCTTCTCCAGGCGTCGAACCTGTAGCCAGAAATTCAGTGAAAACAGTTTTCTGGTGGTTAAAACTGAACATTTTATTCTGATATGAAGCTTCATTAAGTACAAATGGAAAGAATAGCAAACTACATTAAGTGATATAGTAGGTGCCTGTCAGACAATATACCAATGTCCACTGGCTATATGTCATCTGTCATAAAATAGCCACAGCAAAACTTAGTAAAAATGTCCCTTTTTGGCTCAGCCCATCAGCACCTGTGGGTCAGAATCATGTTCAGTTTCCGATTACCATAAAACTATCGTCATATATTAATTATTTGGACAAAGTTTGAAATATTTTCTAAAGTAAACTTTACCCCTTTGCTCAGGGGAAATGTGAGACCCAGGGGTCATGAAATTCATTATTTCAGTAAAGCGCCTTCATACTGTATATCCTTTCATCTATGAAGAGCATTTTATTTTACCTTATCTTGGTATTAATAAAAGATTTCTTGAAATTTGAGACAATTTTACCATTTCTGGCTCTGACTCTTAGGTCTGTGTGGTTTGGGGACTGTATGATTAACAATTTTGGTTTGCTTTTGGCCACAAAATGTTTCTAATCTGTAATCGAAACTGATTGTGGGAGCTGGCTAGTCTATACCAGGTATGTACCCCATTCACTCTCTCCACAGCCCTGATTCTCCTAAGCAATAGAGTTCATGAGTGAGTTTATCCTCCTCATTGGGATGTTGGCCCATTCCTCTCAGAGGGCTGCTCTTAGTTGAGCCAGAGTTACAGGGGGAAGCTGGCATTGTCGAACCTGTCTACCCAGCTGGTCCCACAAGTGTTCAATAGGGGCAAGGTCGGGGCTTCTGTCAGCCGTGCCAAGCTAATGTTTGAAACTATCAGATATTAATTGTTTTTGAACGAAGCGTTTGAAAGATATTGCAAATAATGTCACCCTGCATTTCTTTATCCCTGGAGTGTAGATGAAAATCACATACCTCCTCTTCTGATACAGCTAGTTTGTTTGAAAGGTCAGTATTCTTATGATCATATTCAGCGATCAAAGCATCTTTCTCCTCGCTCACTTTGGTTAAATCAGCTTCATGTTGCTTTACCATTTTCTGTAAGTAGATCACAGATTTAATGAGGTGGTTTGAAATTCCAATACTTTCACAAATTCTCCCATACATGTGTTAAGTGATGACTTCTATTTAGTGATAAAGTTAGCACTTGTATAAAAGTATTCAGGCAATTTTGTTTTGATTTGAATCATAAATTAAGTATATATTTATATCCTGCTTTTTAATAGTTGCTTGGATTATTCCATTATTTTTTTTCTCTTTAAGAGTTGTATTTTTGCAAAAAAATATATCTTCATTTGTTAGTCATATTTATAAAGAAATGATATATTAATTTACAGATATCTTGATCTGGATGATTTTATCTAAAATCAGTAATCCAGCAGATGAGAAATTGTTCTTTCAGACACATTCTGATCAGTTTTCAATTTTTTTAATAAAAGTTACCTCCCCTTGAACAGGAGATGGTTGGCCTATACCTACCTGTTTGGTTTCGTACAGCAGATTATTGGCTTTCTCCTGCTGAGATTTTAACACATCTTGGTGGGTTTTATTGAGATTCTGTTTTTCTGCAGCATGTTTGTCAGCAAGCTCCTTTTCTCTGATAGCCATTTTATCCCGAAGAGATTGAAGATCCCTTTCGTATCTGGCCATCAAGGTCTGTTTCTCTAGCGATAGGTCATCCAATGACTGAATGAAACACAAACAAGCATTAAGGTTACTTAGTTCAGTTTTTTTTTTAACAAAAACCTTACAGAGAAGGATGTTAACTAACCACTGATTTTGTGTAATGAGAGTGCAACAGACAGGAAGGGGATGTTGAACTACATCACTTTACCTTCTGTAATGAGACCAGTTGTGAGTTTTGTTCCTTGCTCATGGAGTCTTTTTCTGACTCTACTGACTTCCATTGTGACTCTAGCCACGCCAACTTGTCCTTAAGTTTCTGAATCTCAATGTTTTGTTCCTGAATTAATGACTGCTGCTGTAGTTTTGTTGCCTCCAACTCGCCAATCAAACCTGAAATGTTGTTTGATATCTAAAACAATTGTCTACATCACAGATTATCTCTATACAGTAATGTCCATTTCACCTTAAAATCAATGCTGAACTCAGTGATTAAACCTATTACAGTCTTAATCATCAATCAAATTAAACTGAAATTATTAAAAACATCCATTCATCCAATTTCTCAGCCTATCTTTGACTTTCCTTATTGCCAATAAGTAGCCAGGGGCTCTTGCATTGTTCCTGTTTATTTCAAAGTAATAAAAAACAAATACTTGGTGAAAAGTTATTTTAAAAACTAGCATGTATATGGTATATGAATATATAGCAAAATTAAATTTTAACCTGATAAATCTGACACTCTATTCAATCCAAGAGAATACTACAACCTTAACATCTATAAAAATAACCGCTACAATGCACCAATGTTTAAGAAAGCTTTTTCAGAGCATTGTGTAGGGCTTTAAATGTAGAACCTCCAAGAATTTCATAAGGCTTATAATTTATCGCCTGAGAGGATTTTATATTGGTTATAATGTAGGGCCTCAGATGATTTATAGAGGTTAAAATGTAGGGCCTCAGATAATTCTATGAGGGTTATAATGTAGGGCCTCAGATAATTCTATGAGGGTTGTAATGTAGGACCTTGGGAAATTTTATAGGGTAATAATGAAGAGTCTTAGACAGAATTTTACAGAAGTTTGTAATGCAGGACCTCAAAAAAAAGTAGGTGTTATAATGTAGGGTTGAGAGAATTAATAGGGCAATATTGCAGGGCCTAGGAGAATTTTATGGAGCTTATATGTAGGGCCTCAGAGCATTTTATAGTAGTTATAATGTAGGACCTCAGAGAATTGTACAGAGATTATAATGTAGGACCTCAGAGAATTGTACAGAGATTATAATGTAGGGCCTCAGAGAATTGTACAGAGATTATAATGTAGGGCTACAGAGAATTATACAGAGATTATAATGTAGGGCCTCAGAGAATTGTACAGAGATTATAATGTAGGGCCTCAGAGAATTGTACAGAGATTATAATGTAGGACCTCAGAGAATTGTACAGAGATTATAATGAAGGGCCTCAGAGAATTGTACAGAGATTATAATGTAGGGCTACAGAGAATTATACAGAGATTATAATGTAGGACCTCAGAGAATTGTACAGAGATTATAATGTAGGACCTCAGAGAATTGTACAGAGATTATAATGTAGGGCTACAGAGAATTGTACAGAGATTATAATGTAGGGCCTCAGAGAATTGTACAGAGATTATAATGAAGGGCCTCAGAGAATTGTACAGAGATTATAATGTAGGGCTACAGAGAATTGTACAGAGATTAGAATGTAGGGCTACAGAGAATTGTACAGAGATTAGAATGTAAGGCCTCAGAGAATTGTACAGAGATTATAATGTAGGGCTACAGAGAATTGTACAGAGATTAGAATGTAAGGCCTCAGAGAATTGTACAGAGATTATAATGTAGGGCTACAGAGAATTGTACAGAGATTATAATGTAGGGCTACAGAGAATTGTACAGAGATTAGAATGTAAGGCCTCAGAGAATTGTACAGAGATTATAGTGTAGGGCTAAAGAGAATTGTACAGAGATTATAATGTAGGACCTCAGAGAATTGTACAGAGATTATAATGTAAGGCCTCAGAGAATTGTACAGAGATTATAATGTAGGACCTCAGAGAATTGTACAGAGATTATAATGTAAGGCCTCAGAGAATTGTACAGAGATTATAATGAAGGGCCTCAGAGAATTGTACAGAGATTATAATGTAGGACCTCAGAGAATTGTACAGAGATTATAATGTAGGACCTCAGAGAATTGTACAGAGATTATAATGTAGGACCTCAGAGAATTGTACAGAGATTATAATGTAGGGCTACAGAGAATTGTACAGAGATTATAATGTAGGGCTACAGAGAATTGTACAGAGATTATAATGTAGGGCCTCAGAGAATTGTACAGAGATTATAATGTAGGGCTACAGAGAATTGTACAGAGATTATTGTACAGAGATACAGAGATTATAATGTAGGACCTCAGAGAATTGTACAGAGATTATAATGTAGGGCCTCAGAGAATTGTACAGAGATTATAATGTAGGGCCTCAGAGAATTGTACAGAGATTATAATGTAGGACCTCAGAGAATTGTACAGAGATTATAATGTAGGACCTCAGAGAATTGTACAGAGATTATAATGTAGGACCTCAGAGAATTGTACAGAGATTATAATGTAGGGCTACAGAGAATTGTACAGAGATTATAATGTAGGGCTACAGAGAATTGTACAGAGATTATAATGTAGGGCTACAGAGAATTGTACAGAGATTATAATGTAGGACCTCAGAGAATTGTACAGAGATTATAATGTAGGGCTACAGAGAATTGTACAGAGATTATAATGTAGGGCCTCAGAGAATTGTACAGAGATTATAATGTAGGGCTACAGAGAATTGTACAGAGATTATAATGTAGGGCTACAGAGAATTGTACAGAGATTAGAATGTAGGGCTACAGAGAATTGTACAGAGATTATAATGTAGGGCTACAGAGAATTGTACAGAGATTATAATGTAGGGCTACAGAGAATTGTACAGAGATTATAATGTATGTCTACAGAGAATTGTACAGAGATTATAATGTAGGGCTACAGAGAATTGTACAGAGATTATAATGTAGGGCTACAGAGAATTGTACAGAGATTATAATGTAGGGCTACAGAGAATTGTACAGAGATTATAATGTAGGACCTCAGAGAATTGTACAGAGATTATAATGTAGGACCTCAGAGAATTGTACAGAGATTATAATGTAGGGTAGGGCTACAGAGAATTGTACAGAGATTATAATGTAGGGCTACAGAGAATTGTACAGAGATTATAATGTAGGGCTACAGAGAATTGTACAGAGATTATAATGTAGGGCGACAGAGAATTGTACAGAGATTATAATGTAGGGCTACAGAGAATTGTACAGAGATTATAATGTAGGGCTACAGAGAATTGTACAGAGATTATAATGTAGGGCTACAGAGAATTGTACAGAGATTATAATGTAGGGCTACAGAGAATTGTACAGAGATTATAATGTAGGGCTACAGAGAATTGTACAGAGATTATAATGTAGGACCTCAGAGAATTGTACAGAGATTATAATGTAAGGCCTCAGAGAATTGTACAGAGATTATAATGTAGGGCTACAGAGAATTGTACAGAGATTATAATGTAGGGCTACAGAGAATTGTACAGAGATTATAATGTAGGGCTACAGAGAATTGTACAGAGATTATAATGTAGGGCTACAGAGAATTGTACAGAGATTATAATTATCAGAGAATTGTACAGAGATGTAAGGACCTCAGAGAATTGTACAGAGATTATAATGTAGGACCTCAGAGAATTGTACAGAGATTATAATGTAGGGGCAGCCTCAGAGATTATAATGTAGGACCTCAGAGAATTGTACAGAGATTATAATGTAGGGCCTCAGAGAGAGAGATTATAATGTACAGAGATTATAATGTAGGACCTCAGAGAATTGTACAGAGATTATAATGTAGGACCTCAGAGAATTGTACAGAGATTATAATGTAGGACCTCAGAGAATTGTACAGAGATTATAATGTAGGGCCTCAGAGAATTGTACAGAGATTATAATGTAGGGCCTCAGAGAATTGTACAGAGATTATAATGTAGGACCTCAGAGAATTGTACAGAGATTATAATGTAGGGCCTCAGAGAATTGTACAGAGATTATAATGTAGGACCTCAGAGAATTGTACAGAGATTATAATGTAGGACCTCAGAGAATTGTACAGAGATTATAATGTAGGACCTCAGAGAATTGTACAGAGATTATAATGTAGGACCTCAGAGAATTGTACAGAGATTATAATGTAGGGCCTCAGAGAATTGTACAGAGATTATAATGTAGGGCCTCAGAGAATTGTACAGAGATTATAATGTAGGGCCTCAGAGAATTGTACAGAGATTATAATGTAGGGCTACAGAGAATTGTACAGAGATTATAATGAAGGGCCTCAGAGAATTGTACAGAGATTATAATGTAGGGCTACAGAGAATTGTACAGAGATTATAATGTAGGGCTACAGAGAATTGTACAGAGATTATAATGTAGGACCTCAGAGAATTGTACAGAGATTATAATGAAGGACCTCAGAGAATTGTACAGAGATTATAATGTAGGGCCTCAGAGAATTGTACAGAGATTATAATGTAGGGCCTCAGAGAATTCTCATCTGAATATGTAACATACTCATTTCCCAAAACTAGCAATTTCAAAAACCGGTAAATTTTCTTTCCAAAATGTGAGACTACATGCCCCCATTCTAAATTGATGTAAATTGAAAACATTTAATAATGGACTGTTTATCATTGTAACAATGACTTCGGTAAAATTCGGGTCAGCTACACATTTGATGTCCTTACCGTATATAAAACCACAGAATACATACATGTAGTCAGCAATTTACACTGTACAATGTATTTTATGCAAATATGAAAATAAATGGTAATGCTTTTTCCCATTTGTATTAAATCCTATTTAACAATAATAAAGAGAAAACAAGAGTGACACATTTCACTGTGATTAAACAAATTGAGACAGTGAAGCTCACTTGACTTAGAACGGAGGTCTTCTGCTTGTTCCTTGCATCGTTCCTTGTATGTTGTCAATTCTGATTCAATTTCCTTTAATCTTGTTAAGGCATTTGATGCCTCGTTTTTGGCTTCCTCAAGCTGTAAAGCAAAAACTAAAGATTAAACCTATTGATTTTTGCTTCAATTCTGTAAATTACATTTCATGTCTGAATTCAAACTGCATTTTACAAAATTGATAAATATTCTTTTTTCCCACGAATCAAACTTGATATTGGAAAACAATTAGAGTTTCTCTTATAGGAATCTATTTTTTTCATTTTCTTTCCTTTTTTTTCGTCTAAATGATCAATATGATATTCAGTTGCAATACATATATAGCCACAATTTAAGCACAGCATTATTATTCATTGACTGTCTATCAGAATCTTAACATATTCATGATAGTAAAACAAATTTATCTTTTAGTAACCATAACATTATTGTAATGATACAGGATTATCCTCACAACACTTCATACTTAAAACAAAACATTGATTCCTTTACATTACAATACTATTACTAAAATATTTATGTATCAGCATATTGCCTATGGCCAACGAACAGAAACTACTTATATAAAGTTATTTTTTGATATATTGCCAGCATGCCAGGAAAGCACACATAACTGCCCACTTAAGTTAATAGTAAAACAAAGTATAACTAAAAAAAGTGCAAACACTTTTCAAGAGGATAAACTTTTTCTTTGTTGTCTTTGTTACAGAGTACATCAAGTTTCCAGATACAGTTACGCATATAAATTATATTCATATGTACATTCCCAAATATTAGGAAATTAATGAAAATGTAAATGGAAGGAGAAATGGAAAATGTCATGTCAATGCTTGGGTTAAGAACCTGATCATAATCTCATGGGCAATACATACCAATGTGTATCCAAGAAAAGAAATTCTATCTCAAATCAACACTCACTTAGGTGACTTGTTCTCTCAATTTCTACAAATGTACATTGGCAAACTGTCATTGATGTAACGGTTTAAGTTCTGGAAGGTCTAGAAATTGTATACTTACCAGTTTCTGTAGGCCCCCAGAACTAGACTGGTGATTATCTAGTGCTAACTTTAACTTCTCCAGTTCTGACTTGTGTTTCTCTACCTCATCTTCACTAACAGACAACTGGTTGACTAGACTTTCTATTTGTTTTTTCAATTCTCTCTCCTGAACTGCAAACTCTTTCTTCATTTTTTCCTGTTCCTCTAATAGAATTTTGCTGGAATTTTCATGTAAAGAAAGCTGTGATTGTTTCAAGGCTGCCAGTTCTTTTTCATAAAATGCCTGAGCTTTTACCAGTTTTGCCTCATATTCTTCTGCACTTTTTGCTTTTTCCACATTCAAACTGTCTAATTGTGTCTTTAACTCTTCAATCTGTCCTTTGAATTTATCTTCAACTTTAGCACATTCGTTTAACCAGTCTGTATTCTGTGACCGTTGAAATGAGCGAAGCTCATCCATTTCTACTTGGTGAGCTTTTTTCATGTCTGAAAGAGCCTGTTCTTTTTCAGAATCAACATTTTGCTTCCACTCCTCAAACAGTTCCAATTGTTTGTCAAATCTTTTCTTGGCAGTCAACACTTCCTGTGATATTCCGAGAAGCTTTTGAGAATGTTCCATTTTCACCTGACATTCGCGTTCTTCAGCATGCTGTTTAAAGGTTTCAAACCTTTGCACAGCTTCCTGCTTATATCGCTCATGGTTTGCTATGGTGGTTTCCATAGAAGCAATTTTTTGTCTATAGTCATTTTCCTCATCAAGCTTCCTTTTGAACACACTGATCTTTTCTTTGGTTTCTGACAGTATTTTCTGTATCTCTTCCTCATGTTGTTCCTTGAGATTATGGATAACTGCATCATGTTCATCATTTTTGGTGTTGAGAGCATAAATAACCTGAAAAGTAGTAAAAGTTATGATAATCTATCACAATAGACATTAAGTTCCAAAAATTGTCAATCAAGTGTAAGGAGATACAAGTATAGAAAAAAAAATTAACACTTGTCACTTATGTTCAATGACTTTACTAGTAGTGTGTTTATATGAGCTGAATCTTTTTGTATATTATGCTACAACTACAATGGATATCTATCATTTTTTCAGATAAACTGTTCCTGAAAGGACCAATCTAGAATGTTAATTAACAAAGAACGATTGACTTAATGTATATTGATAACATCTGAACCATGACTGGCAGAGCCAATGATTTCAAGACTAATCCATGCATAATCTGTCTGGCTACAATGTGAATGGGTGGGCTGGTTGGGCAGGAGATTATTTATGTAGTTATCTCCTTCTGTATACATTCAAGTCCCAAAGAAGAGTAAAAGTGAATATTAAGTAATTACAAATGGTTACATTTTGTACCATTTAATGAATGTGCAGACAAGAAAAAGCTTAGAAAGCAATATTTTGCCATTTGTATGCTTTTGATAGTTTGTATGTAATGATGGCGCATCCATTAATGACTCAGCTGGTTGATCTGGGTGGGGGTTAATTTGTGTATGTCGTTCCTCCCCCTGGGCCTAATAAATGTACCAGGAAAGTAAGAAATAATTCATATCTTGATAACAAAAAAAAAAAAAAAAAAACACTAATAAATCGCAACATTTTTACATAAATCTACTCAAATATTTTTAAAATGTGACACTTTGAATAAAATAATTTAGATATTGAGATTTACTAAAATCGACAATTTGGTTTTTTCAGGGGGTGAAACCATGTCGCACTCAACCATTATTTTTTTCCCCAACTTTTTGCAAATTACAGGTACCACACGGTTTGATTTTTTTTTCTATTCTTCACAATATTTTCAACGATCCGATTTCAAATACAACAGTTTTACACCCAAAAAGAGGCATGATTCATATCTAATCTTGCATTTATTATAATCGGGGGTTGTTTGTTGACACTGAATCCCCGGACCCGTGCTAGGGGGAGGTCACCCCTTCAGTCTTAATTTGTGAAATTCTTGATATTTAAATTGTTTCATTCGAAGTATCGGATCTCAAAAATATTTACGTATATTTACAAGTAAAGTGTAATGTCTATCAAGATACGTGTAGTTTTAATGTCCCGAAATATTACTGATAGCTGTTTTGGGAATAGCGAGATATTCTGGGTTATTTGTTTTATGTTGTATGCGATTCGTAAACATATTCACAGCAACATACCCGGCCTATTGGGTGTGATTACCATGAATATTACATAGATATACATGTAGATATACATTTCTAGACAATCAGACGAAAATTCGGAAACACAATCAACATATGAAAACGTAAACATCGAGGCATGTAGCCAAACCAAATCTCATAACAACCCATTAATCGGTATATTTATACACCTTTGTAAGTTGGGCAATTTTTTTCGACATCTTGAGGTGCATATCCTGTGAAACTTCCATGTCCTTTTGTGGATCTGCTGGTAAAGTGCCGTATTTCCCATTTTGATAGTAGTTAAAAGACATTTTGGCACTTGCCGCCATGTTGGTATTTTAAGGACTACTTCAAGATCACAGAAAATAGTTCGCAGCTAGTCTTCATGAATTTGTATGAAAATCTCACACATGTTCGTAAAATATCTAACATAAACAGACAACTGGAGTACTATATTATAGATTTGAATTTTAGTGTGTTTTCATTTATTCAAACTATTTTACTGAGTGATATTGAATATCACTACACCTCCGTAGTCACGAGTAGTTTATTCGTTGCTATGGCCGACCTTTTCCGAAGAGAATTTATCGGAATTTCTCGGGTTCTTTCATTCCATTGTCCACAAACCTGAAATGGATGGTTCGAAGCTTAGTTGGAACAGATTAGATTTTACTGACACTTTTTGCCAAATTTGTAACATGAACACCTGACACAGTCACATAAAAAGATTGAAGTGGTTAGCGGTTATAGTCAATAAAATTTATTTCTTGAAATATTGGCATGAACAAATTGAAATGTAAATCAATACTTCAGTGTAAAACCTTAAACATTTTAGAAACTTCGCGGCTTGTTGATAACAAAACTACATATTCAAATGAGTAATACTGCACAATGATTTAAACCACGATAATCTGACCCATTATGTATCTTGGCAACTTCAGGTCTAGAAGGAAAGCTAAGCACAGCGATAAAGTATCTTGGTGTCGTTTTAAACAATTTTCTTTCAAAATAAAAATAAGTTTGTTCAAAACTTGACAAAAACTGCTATAAAATGAAACTCGGATGTGCATTGATCCAATGTCATTTTGATCCTGTTGATACAATGTGTTTTTTGTTTTAAAAAAAATGACTGCGAAATATCTACACGTGTTCCGATAGTTCAAAACAAACGTTATAATCATAATAATGTCACTAGTGGTCAGTCGCACCGGACAAAGACTCACTCACTCGGATGTGCATTGATCCAATGTCATTTTGATCCTGTTGATACAATGTGTTTTTTGTTTTAAAAAAAATGACTGCGAAATATCTACACGTGTTCCGATAGTTCAAAACAAACGTTATAATCATAATACTCATGTCACTACTCACTCATCACTCACTCACTCACTCATTCATTCATTCATTCACTCATTCACTCACTCACTCACTCGTGTGGTCAGTCGCACCAGACAAAGACTCACTCACTCACTCACTCACTCACTCACTCACTCACTCACTCACTCACTCACTCACTCACTCACTCACTCACTCACTCACTCACTCACTCACTCACTCACTCACTCACTCACTCACTCACTCACTCACTCACTCACTCACTCACTCACTCACTCAATCACTCAATCACTCAATCACTCATTAAGCTTACGTATTTTCTTTTATAATGATGGTTTGATTAAACAGCGAATTCGACAAATATACAAAAAGTCAATTAAATTGATAATATATTTACAAATTTGTACAAAAGTAAAAATTGATAACTTAAACTGCCTCTATGTACAAAAAAACCAAAAAAAACCCCAAAAACAAAAAAGATATTTTATGTCCCCGAATCGAAAGATCGGGGGCGTATTGTTTTTGTGCTGATTGTTTTTCACGCATTATAGAATATAAATTAATAAAACGTATTTTGTCATTGCAGCGTGTTATATATTGGATTTTTACTCCCACAAGTTACACAATGTATATTTATATATAAGATATGGCACCTTTATACATCTGATGCGAACTATATATAAGTTTTGTAAGTTTAACTTAATAATGACAGCGTTGTCTGTGTAGATTTGACGTCATCAGTGCGTCAGAGTTGACTTGATTCCATGGAGAGTACTAATTGTAACCTTATTTGATTTATTTATGTAGCAGTACTTCCGTCACAGATGAGGCGTGCCAAAGTTGTATTCTTCACTGTCTAATGTCACATTCATTTTGCATCAATTTCCCCAACACTCATTCCTTCTGTAAAGGGTCAGTAAAGAACATACAGACGCTTGACCAGAGGAAATATCTCCAAGGTCACCGGACAATGAAGATAGAGTGGAATAAGACAAGATGAATGTTGCTGGTTTACGTACAATACAATCTGGCAGGTTTGATCCAAACCCAGAACCATTCTATCACTAACAATATACAAGGTTCTGACAGAAGAGAAACAAGAACTGACAAGTCTTAATTAAGATGGTACAAAGAGTGTTACAGGACAGGGGCGTGAGTGGTATTTACCCGACAATGTACTACAATTATATTCTGTCATGTACTGAAGCATGAAAGTAAATCTAGACAATTCTATATAAACCACACCATTGTGCTAAACAAATGTATTCAACCAATCACTATAGGTTTGACTAACCGAATTCACGAATCAAATCCGAGTGGAGTCAGTCTGGTTGCCGAATCTACCGACAAATGGATCAATACAGAATCGACAGAATGTAACAAGTGTGCATCTGTGTAATAAAATCGTGAATTTCTATATAGGGTATAGTGAAAATACACTCTCCTGAAAACATAGTTTTCCACAACACCAGTAGATTTGCCGGTACTCTGCATACTACTATACCTTATCCGCCTTCATTTTCAACTCAACATGGAAGAAAGGTGAACGACAGTACCAGGTTGTACATGATCGACGGTATAGATATATGGTTGCGACAGTACCAGGTTGTACATGATCGACGGTATAGATATATGGTTGCGACAGTACCAGGTTGTACATGATCGACGGTATAGATATATGGTTGCGACAGTACCAGGTTGTACATGATCGACGGTATAGATATATGGTTGCGACAGTACCAGGTCGTACATGATCGACGGTATAGATATATGGTTGCGACAGTACCAGGTGGTACATGATCGACGGTGTAGATATATGGTCGCGACAGTACCAGGTTGTACATGATCGACGGTATAGATATATGGTCGCGACAGTACCAGGTTGTACATGATCGACGTTGTAGATATATGGTTGCGACAGTACCAGGTTGTACATGATCGACGGTGTAGATATATGGTTGCGACAGTACCAGGTTGTACATGATCGACGGTATAGATATATGGTTGCGACAGTACCAGGTTGTACATGATCGACGGTGTAGATATATGGTTGCGACAGTACCAGGTTGTACATGATCGACGGTATAGATATATGGTTGCGACAGTACCAGGTTGTACATGATCGACGGTGTAGATATATGGTTGCGACAGTACCAGGTTGTACATGATCGACGGTGTAGATATATGGTTGCGACAGTACCAGGTTGTACATGATCGACGGTATAGATATATGGTTGCGACAGTACCAGGTTGTACATGATCGACGGTGTAGATATATGGTTGCGACAGTACCAGGTTGTACATGATCGACGGTGTAGATATATGGTTGCGACAGTACCAGGTTGTACATGATCGACGGTGTAGATATATGGTTGCGACAGTACCAGGTTGTACATGATCGACGGTATAGATATATGGTTGCGACAGTACCAGGTTGTACATGATCGACGGTGTAGATATATGGTCGCGACAGTACCAGGTTGTACATGATCGACGGTATAGATATATGGTTGCGACAGTACCAGGTTGTACATGATCGACGGTGTAGATATATGGTTGCGACAGTACCAGGTTGTACATGATCGACAGTGTAGATATATGGTCGCGACAGTACCAGGTTGTACATGCTCGACGGTATAGATATATGGTTGCGACAGTACCAGGTTGTACATGATCGACGGTGTAGATATATGGTTGCGACAGTACCAGGTTGTACATGATCGACGGTGTAGATATATGGTTGCGACAGTACCAGGTTGTACATGATCGACGGTATAGATATATGGTTGCGACAGTACCAGGTTGTACATGATCGACGGTATAGATATATGGTTGCGACAGTACCAGGTTGTACATGCTCGACGGTATAGATATATGGTTGCGACAGTACCAGGTTGTACATGCTCGACGGTATAGATATATGGTTGCGACAGTACCAGGTTGTACATGATCGACGGTATAGATATATGGTTGCGACAGTACCAGGTTGTACATGCTCGACGGTATAGATATATGGTTGCGACAGTACCAGGTTGTACATGATCGACGGTATAGATATATGGTTGCGACAGTACCAGGTTGTACATGATCGACGGTATAGATATATGGTTGCGACAGTACCAGGTTGTACATGCTCGACGGTATAGATATATGGTTGCGACAGTACCAGGTTGTACATGCTCGACGGTATAGATATATGGTTGCGACAGTACCAGGTTGTACATGATCGACGGTATAGATATATGGTTGCGAACTTCTGTCTAATGGAGCGTATTTTGTTTATTGTAATCTTGCAGGGAAGAACAAACGTTGGATGCTCTGGTTTACAATAATCTTCGTTAAGTTCGGCTTTAAGATATCCTAGCAGAGCATTGTTATACTTTAGTTAACAAACTGTGACACTTTCTTGGCGGATTTGTTTTTGTTTGTAGTCTGCCACGTTATTCATTATTTCATTATGTCCTCTCTTTATCCATCGTATATACCCAGGTGTATAATAAGTCTGATAATTTCGATTTTGTGATTCCTGTTTCTAGATAGTAATAAACATATATATTTGTACTTTTCCAGACATATGGTGTTTACTGCTCACAACACAGGATTCACGATATTGAATCAAGTTTTCACTCTGTCCGATATGAAGTTAGACGTTTTGAAGCTAGTGGGTATGAATGATGATTCAGTATTTATTGATCTCCTTACTTAAATGATGTTTTCGATGAAACAGAAGACGTTTTCCCTTCTGGAGCACCTGATCTGATTCTCCGTACTCTTCAACGAATCTCCGCACAAGTCGTTTTGTGCATATTTTAATTTAGTTTCGTCGAATTTGAGATGGTATACCTTATCCTATTGATTTGTAGGTGTTTATTTGTTATGATCATGACCGTTAATGAAAAAGCAGAATAACATAAGCTAAAGACCCCTACTCTATTAAACTATTACAAACTCGTTACCAGTACCAGTGCTAACAGTTTGTCTTTGGATCATCAGC